TATGGAACATGAAGGTGAATACATGTGTGTGTAATTTTTGAATAAGCCCCCAAGTTATCCAAATAAAAACACTCCAGACATTGGAGCATTTCCCCATAATTGTTAATATAACCAAAATCAGCTAAAGCAACATTCTAAGAACATAAACTAGCTAGCTTTTTTATTGTCGTTTCCATTTGTCTTTACTTCAAGCCTACCTGATTGATTATTGTGGACAGTACCCACAGTTACCTGAGGTTCTGCCCTATCAAACTTTAAGATGAATTCTGGCACAGCATCCCTTTGGCTCCTGGCACAGAGGCTGACTAGTCAGCTCTGGCAGCAAGGCCTCAGGCAGGCCAGACTACCTACAGAACATTTCCAATAAGTGTGTGTGAACAAGTTTACAGCAAAAAGCAATAAAGTAGCAGTACTTTTATCCAGTAGTCCCATAGGGGAATTAGTCCTCTCACTGTCTAGAAAGAGAAAGGAAGAAGTAAAAACTAAGAGTTTTATGTTTTAAATTCCCCTGCTCACACATCTTGCCAGGGACTGGTGGAACACTGCAAAATTCTAAATATCTACCAAAAATATTGATGTATATGTACCAAAGCATGTTCTCTTTATTGCTACCAATCTCACATCTGTTGACAAAAGCTACAGAAGGTTTCCAAAGTATTGTCACTGTGCCTAAAACACATGTATATGTGTTCAATACATATTTGTTGAATTAATGAGCAAATGAATGAGAATCCTGAAAGGTTGCCACAAATATTGAGAAATGAAAAATTATATACCAGAGTCAAAATAATTATGTACCAAACATATAAAGTAACTGCACAAAAAATCTCAGAGGAATCAACACAGGCTAAAAGACAAGCATTCATCCCAAGTGTATTTCAAGTACAAGGTGACTGTACCCAGACTCACTACCAGTATTCTTTAAAATGCATCAGGTATACCTACAGTCTCTCTCCTCAGAACCTCAAAAATTTTAGAGCACAAGTAGTCAGTTAAATATTAGGGCAAAATAAACCCCAATTACCCTGACAACTTTATTCAAAACCAACCCTGAAACATGAACCTAGGTGGAACTGCTACCCATTTTTCCCCAGAAAAGAAAGGAAATACCACCTGCCTAGAGACCACAGACATTGTCAAAACTCAGGAGAAATGCCAAATTCTTATATCAGAGTTACTGTGGGTACACCAGGTAAAACAAGAGACAATGAACTTAAACTACCACAAAATACATGGTGTCTGACTACAAGAAGATGCTAGACCACAAAATAGGCTGGCCCAAAGGGGATCAGGAAATTTTTTCCCCCTAGGTCTACAAAAGGCAGTGAATGAACATAATGGCCTTCTGAAGTACCTTTCTGACCTAAAGTCCTGATTCCTCTCTAGAAAATACAAAATTCAAATTTACCTAACATCCGTATAATTCCCCTTGATTATACTTCAATTACAGGTACGGTAATGATGATGATTAAATAATAGCTAACATTTCTCTATGGCTTACTCCATGCCAGGCAGAGTTCCTAAATCCATTACATATATTAACATTTAATATTTATAATAATCTGATAAGATAGATGTACTTATTATCCTCATTTTACAATGAGGAAACTGAAGCACAGAGGATAACTTGACCAAGGCCACATAAAACTGAGAAGTGGCAAGACTAAGATCTCAACCCAGGCTATCTCAATCTCAAAGAGGCTATCTGGTAACAGATTTTTTCAGAGGTGAATGTGGATGGAAGGGCAGAACCAATGTTTAGGAGCATGCAGATGCAAAAAGATGGGATTCCTGCCTCTGGTCAGTGGATGCCAAGCTAACTCCAGGGCGATGTTCTCAGAGTGACATCTAGATTACTTGTGTCTCAATCGCCCGTGTGTCTGTTAACTGCAGGGGTGGAGTCCAGGAATGTGCAAGTCCCTCAGAGGATTCTCTCACACTAAAATTTAGAGAACCATTGATCCAATACCAATGCTGCTGTATCCCCCAGCAGAAACCACAAAAATAGAAAGTAAAACACAACAACCAATAATGGGGCTTTTTATTTCAGATGTAGTTGATAGAATCTGTTTCTTTACTCTGCAACAATTCCCAAGTTTATTCACATGAAGGATCACCTGAAAGCCAAGTTCTTGAAATGTTAGCGAATTCATTCTATGGACCAACCAGGAACAATTTTATGATGGGAAAACCTGATTATATTAATACAAAATTTAAAAAATTATAATCATGTTTTCTTAGTCAATATCTCCACACTAAAAAAGATGACCATTTCTGGGCTTTTTCATCAATGTTCATTTGCTGCATCCATTTATTTTGTTTTCTGCCGGCAGTCACTATCCACGGTAAGCAGGAACCAAAGCTCTGAAAATTCCAACCAATAATTTTAAGTTCCTCTAAATTATGAAGTCTGCCACCTCCATGGCAGGGTATTTTCAAAACAGCCTGAGAAACACTGCTTTAAGGTGGGATTTACTGCCCATCAGCCCCTAGACACAGATTCTCTACAGCAGAATTTAACTTGGGGTTGATAAACTTGAACGGAAAATTACATTCACATTTCCACTAACCTCTAGGTGAAATTTAGCATTTCCCTCCTGGTGGCATGAGTATGTATGACTTTCTCACTAATGGAAATCACTGATTTTTTTTTTCATATCACATCTTTTTTTTTTTTTTCCTTTTTTGTCTTTTTTCGTGACCGGTAACGGGATCGCAACCCTCGGTGTCGCGCCCGCACCGCGCTCAACCAGTGAGCGGACCGGTCTCTATATGGGATCCGAACCCTCGGCGGGAGCGCCGCCGCACTCCCAAGTGCAGCACTCTACCGAGTGCGCCACCGGGCCGCCCCTCATATCACATCTTGAAATGATGTTTACCCTCATTGCTACTTCAAAATCACAGCAATAACCATACTAGATGGTATAATTTAATAAATTAATGTAAAGGCATGTATTACTATATCACCACTTTTTAAAAAATGTTTTTGATATCTGTACTTCAATATAATTGGTTTTCTTCATAATCCTGTGTATTTTATGCATTTGAAAACATAACTATGAGAAGGGGTCTACTGGCATCAGATTACCAAAGGGGTCTATCCATAGCACACACACACAGAACCCCCCAGACTTATAGGTAGGTAGAGGCACAAAACTATTTTTAAGACACTGCACTGTCAACATCATGTAAACGTGTTAAGATATAGTTAACTGCTTATTTTATTTCTACTAGAATTATTAGTTTGCATTTCACTACTAAGGCCATATTTCCTGTGTACCTGGCAAAAAGGAGTTCTACGCAGTTGCTAAATGAGAACAAACTTTGAGAGTTCCTGCCTCTGAGGTTTGACAACAATTTTTCCACTGATTACACCAGCAGTCTAACTGGGACTCAGTTTTTCCTCTCTTGGAAATGGGACGACTACTGCTTACTCAACGACCCTTGAAGAACTTGCAAGAAAAAAACCCATCAATTTGTTGTCAAAAGACTCAAACCCTTTGAAAGACAGTTTACTTTTTAATTTTTTTACATGTATCTTTAAACAATAGTTCTTGTGGTCTTAATTTTACTAATATGGTGTCCACATTTGGACCCTGAATTTCATTCCCAGTTCTGACATCCACTATGGGCCATCAGAAAGAAACAGGCATCAGAGAAAACAAACCTATGTCTTGCTTGGGCAATGGGTGGACTGAATTTGTTTGTAAACTGTGTACGTGTAATGTCTGGGCAGTGAGAGTCCACCGCTTTCAGCAGTTTTTCAAAGGGGACTCCAAAGAAGTTAAGACCTACTCTAGAGAAACAGGTATGCTCCTGAAAAATAATAAACTTTAAAAAAATGTGCCAATGTTTTTACAGGAACTTCATGTGTAAAACAGAACCTGTCTCCTACAGCAAACTGTGGATCAGAAATAATAAAACTTGCCTGTGCAACATCTCACAGCTAGTCAGTGGACCAGACAGGACCCAATCCTAGACCACCTGGCTTCTTTCCCTCTGCACCAGGCCTGTCACTGTCGACAGTTTTATTCTTAAATCTGACTTTCAAGGCGTTAAGCAGGAGTACCGGCTTTAAACACCACTAGCCAGAGCTTTCAGTTGCTCTGATCAATTTCACAAGTTTTATTCTAACACAACAAAAGGAAGAGATTAAGAGTTAAAGGAAATTCTTCCCACTGATTTATTCAACAACTTTGAAAAATACACTTATGCTGCACTGCCAGAAAAGCTTTCCTTTACTACCAGTGCTTCTTTGAAGGATTCTCAATTAATGGATGTCCGGCAAGACTTACTACTAAACGTTATACATCTGTATTAGTATGAAAAGAGCCAAGGGGGAAAAAAAAAAGAAAAAGGCCAAGTGTCAACCTTCTCTATTTAGAAAACAATGGCGGGATCATGCCACGGGTCTTGATTTCCAAAAAGAAATTGCCTTGGAGAGAATGAATATCAGCAAGCAATAGCAATTCTGGCTGAAGGGCTGGGTATCCATGAGTAGTACCTGGGGGTGGGAGTAGGAGGCGGGGAAGCTCGGAATAAAAAGCCCTAGCAGAAATCTAGTGTGGACAGGAGCGCACGACCACCAATTAAAGCGCCTGCTTTTTCCTTCACAGCCGTCACTCCCTCGTCTCTCCCTTGCCCCCTCAACTGAAGCAGCGCAGCAAGAGTGGAGAGAATGGGAGGGATAAATGGAGTAGCTTTGGGTGGGGTGTAAACTCGAGGTTTAAACCTGTTTCCACCACGAAACAGCTGTCTGACTCGGGCAAGTCATAACACTGTGCCTCAGTTTCCCCACTACACTCCCGACAGGAAGGCTGCCAGGATTAAATGACACATCGAGTGCCGAAACCCTCCGCACAGAACCAGACACAGAGGAACCGATCCGAGGCTCTAAGGCAAGTCCGCAGGAGGGTTCTGGGATCTGGGCTCCGGCCCGGAAAGGGCGCTCCCGGGGCCCGCTCCCCGTCAGCTGGGTTCCGAGCCCCTGTCCGGCCCACCTTGTTGTTGTACTCCTCCACGAAGCTGCCCAGCGCCAGGCGAAAGCGCTTGTCTGGCCGCACGCTCCAGTTCATGGCGTAGACGGTCCACGGCGCTTCATACTTGTAGATCTCCTTCCGTTTGCCGTGCAGGGACATGGTGGCCGCGGGGCCGCAGTGCGGGCCTGGTCGGCAGCGGGCTGCCGCAGACGGGGCGCGAGTCGGGCGGAAAGCCGGGCCTGGGACCTAGGAGCCCGAAGGAAGGCGGGGCGGGGGCGGGCAGGAACGGCCTAGCCCGGAAGCTGGGCTGCGGCGACAAAAAACGACAGCCGGGCCCGACCCTCAGTTTCGAACCAGCTTCTGCTCCTGCAACCACCACCTTCCGTTTGGGATGCGGCTCCGCCCTCCCGGAACGGAAGTCACGCGACCCCGCCAGCGGCTCCGGCCGTTGGCTGCCCGACACGTCCTTTTGAATCGGTTCCTTCTCTTCATTGGTTGCTGAGGCCGTAGTATCTGAACTCTCCTCGCTATTGGTGTAAATGTCTGACATGCCAACTACTCGCCCCGCCCAACTCCTGGAGGGGAGGTGCTTTTGCAGCCTCAAAGGTCATTGGCTGACTAAGATGTCTGTCAGGCAGATAACGGCGCAGTGCGGGTGAGTGGGGGCGTGGGTGGCCTAGAGGCGAGCCAGCGGGTCAGCCGGCCGCCAAGTTCTAGGCCAAGTCTTAGAACGAGTGCTGTCTCACCTGTCCTGACATACTTGTGCTGCTTCTATTCTGAGCGGCCTCTCCACGCTGTCGAGTAACATTAAAATTCTGCTTTAATGGAGGACACACTGCATTTCGGGGCACTGAGCCCCGTGGCCGAGCAGCCTGCCCTGAGCCACCTTCCCGCCCCACTCGTCCCAGGGCCCTTTTTAGCCCGGAGAGCTGTTCTCCGGTGTCTCCAGGACAGACCTCGGACACACGGATGTGCTCAGGGCCAGGCCAGCTTGAGACAGGCCTTCCCGCGCTTTCCTACAGATTCTAGAAATTTTCCTGAATTACAGGATTGGTCTTCAGTAGAAATCAACCCGAAAAGCTTGGCTGTGAATCCCATCCTGTCCCTTTCTCGCCGCGGATCCCAAGGCAAATCCAGCCCTAAATTTATCTGTGCCGTGAGTTTGAAACAGAGAAGGGTCGGAATCTAGATAACATTTTTATATAATTTAAATGGTTTCCCATTCTCTGCTTTCAAGAAAATTGAAGTAAGTTTGTATTGAATTGTTATATGATATCATTAAATACAATTTTTAGTGATCAATGTGATTTTAACAGACAACTCCAAGAATTCAAAGAATTGAGGGATAATGCTATATACGATCCCCCTTTAATCCTATACTTCTGTGAACAAGTTTTCTTTGCACTTAAGTTTTTTGAAAAAGTAAAGAAAAATAGGCACAAAACTGTTGCTGTACCTTTTCTTATTCTAATAAATAAACAATGATATTTATCCACAGACATAGGAACTAGCTGGGTGGAAAATCCCCTCTTTTAAGGCATGCATTTCCAGTAAAGTTTTAGTTTATATAAAAATTTGAAAATATGTTTATGTTGTTTTAAACTGTACTAATAAGTGTAACACTTAAGGTCTTATTAAGGTTACAAATATTAATTTAAATATTTCAATGTGTATACATATTTGTGTTGTAGACATATGATAGGGTGATCAATAATAGACTTGCATAAAAATAAGTTACAAGCAGGATAAAACTGCAAGAGGGGATAGATGGGAATTAAGAAAAGAGAAAAAGGAACAATGTTAAAGACGGGCTTGTTCTTGTGTTTTTAAAATGGATGATGGTGGCTCTCAAATCACTCTGCTATTTGGACAGAAATGGATCAATATAAATGAGGGATAAAACAGGTTTATAAAGTGCCAATATTTATAACACACTGACTTTATATCCTTTGCAACTATTTAAACTCGTTAGTGAAATATTTCAGATGTCAACTTAAAAATGTGGGAGGGTGGATATACATTTTCAGAATTCTTTTAAGGAATACTGGAGCAAAAAGGACTGGAGACCAATGACCGGGTACCTTTGGATAACAGTCCTTTTCAGCAGAGTGGTTAGTTACACATGCTCTCAAGCCAGACCGTCTAGGTTGAAATTATGTTCTCCTTTTCTTATTGTGTTGGGCATGATTTTTTTTTTAATTGAAGTCTAATTTACACATACAAATGCACATGTTTTCACAACCTGAAAACACTCATGTAACCAGCACCTGGATCAGGAGACAGAACAATACCGCACCCCAGAAGTCCCCTTCATCCTTCATGCTCCAGTAAGTTTCTTAGTTTCTCTCTCTGCTACTGATCCTAATCTTTAAAATGGAGATAACAATGCTGACGCTTTGAGGTTATTTTGAGAATTAGATGAACTAATATCTGCAGAGCAGTCAACAGGGTATCTGGCAGAGGGTGAATGCTATGGAAGCGTTGGCTGTTGTCACAGTTCCCTTTGGACACCAAGCCTGCACCTGTTTCCCTTCACCCTAGCCTGGCTAACAGCCCCAGGCTCTGGGGGCTCCTGGGCCCCAGTGGAGCCACCTTCAGGTCCCCAATACATGGGATATGGTGGAGGCTGAGCTTCCCACTCCTTGTGAGAAGGTCTTGGAGAACGCCACTGCACAGTTAAGGACCTGGTGACACTCAGATAAGTTACACACCCAGCCTAACATGAAATGTACAGACTTTATTGGCTGTGTGAAACTGCACCCAAATGTCATCACAGACCTCTCAGGTCTGGAGGGGCTGAGGGCTAGAGCTGTGCCCCAACATGTCCACCACAGAGGACACCTCCATCTCCAGCTGGGTCAGAGGCTCTCTGCAGGTGGTCTGACCACATGCTGGGCCATGAGGTGGCAGATGGTCCTGAGCTTGGAGGTGATCGCATGCAGCCCAGAGCGAGCCTCTCACGTAGAAGATCAGAAATTCTCCTTTCTTCACTGACTCCTCCATCCTATAAGTTACTTCCATGCCTGAGGGTCCCCCACCCTCAATCAGGCTTGTTGTCTAAATGGAGTCCCAGAGGAGGCTGGGAAAGGTCCCAAGCCTCTTCACCTTTGCCATCCCAGGTCACCTGGGTCAGCAGTTTGTAACTACTCTAGCAGAATGGTTTTCAGAGGCCCGTCTTGGGGGCTGTCTGCCTCCCCCAAGATCCTTAACTCTCACCTCACCCACCTTCAATCCTCTCATGGTGTTTTTTATCTTGGGTTTCAGTGGCCCTAACTCCTTGCATATCCAGGATCTGAGCCATGTCTCTGGAACTCCAGTTGCTTGGGAACAGTGCCAAGGTGTTCAGGGAGGGAAAAGAAGCGGGGACCACAGACCAGTCCCTGTACCTCGAGGGGATGCAGAGGTGAGGCCAGGGGTGACAGGAGTCCCTCAGGCTTCTCCTGTTCTGAGGAAGGTGTCAGAGTTTTGTCCATTGCCATGACTGGGTGAGGCATCCTGGAGGAGGAATTCCTGTTCTTCGGTGTATATTTGTCCAAGTCACCATAGCTTGGGGTCTGGGAAGGGCAAGAAAGAGGGACGCACGCAGTGTGGGGAGTCCCCCAGGCCAGGCTGGAGGTTGATCTACCCTGACTTCAGGGATGGGAATGGGCAAGAGCTGTACCTGCTCTTCCCACACCTCAGGTCCTGTTGCCCTTGCACCCGCTTTGGGGTCTGTGGTCACAATCTGGGCTTTGCCACCACCCTTTCCAGGCTGCCCTGTTATGACTCAAATCATAAAGGACAGCAGAAGCGACGGCTGCTCTGGGGCCATAGAGGCTCTGGGCCTAATGCCACACTGAGACCAAGTTGGAGGTGGTGAAGACATGCAGGCTGCCTCCAGGTAAGGCTCCAGGGCTTCCCTCACCTCTCACCTGTGCAGGGGGCAGCCTGGGCCCTGGACTCTGAATCTCTGAGACAGTAGGAAACAAGGCCAGGTCGTTGGAGGCAGGGGCTCCCAGAGTGTAGCTGGGGTGGCACTGGGGCACTGGCTGCTGAAGCAGCTGCAGGATGCGGCTGAGGTCTGAGGACATGCGGGACTCCAGCCTGCAAGACAGAACACCATGGTCAGGGTCAGGGTTGGCAAGAGCAGTTCAGGTCCTCAGGGCAGCTCTCAATTTTGCAGCCTGCATGCTGATTCTGCCAAATGGAATGGCAGCCTGGGGCCTACCTGAAGGTATCTCCCTATTGGCATCCACAACCCCTACCCGAATTGCCCTTAGCACATCCTTGACGCTGATAACACCAGTGGCCAGGTGCCAAGCACGCATCATTCAGTCCTCCTAACAATGCTTTTACATGGGTATTTTAATCATCCCCATTTCACAGAAGGGCAACTTGAGGCTTGGAGCAGTTAAGAAACTGCTGGTTACCGAGCTAGAATTTGAACCCAGGACTGTTCTGTCTCTAAGCCCCTACTCTGCCACCACAGCCCTGCCATCCACAGGCCACAATCCCTTTCCAAGGGCCCATGGAATTTATTTCTGCACGTGGTTGTACCCCTTCCCCAAGAAGCTGTGTTGGCATGTTTGCTGGGGGAAGCCATCCAAGGAACTGTGCTTAATGACATAGGACTAGGGAGACCTGCAGTAAATGGGCCCGCAATTCTAAAACCCACCAGGCACCACCACATCAGTGATGTGTTGGAGCCACCAGGAGGGGGCACTTGTGCCTAGCCCACTGCTAGGTCTGCCCTCTGCAGCCGCCCCCAGCCCTGGCCCGCAGGATACTCACCTGTTCACCTGGGCCTGGAGCTGCTCCAGCCTGGAACCTAGCTCCTGACGCCAGCAGTCTGGGTCTCTTTGAGGGTTCAGGGGGCTGTGCCTTGGGGGCATTTGCTGCAGCAACTCAGGCCAGAGGCCAGATGTACCTGAGATGCTCAGGGAAGGGGCTTTACCTGCAGGAGGGAAAGAGCAGCCTGAACTCAATCTAGCTGGTTCCACAGGACTGTCCCTTCCCAGCACAGCCCATATCCCTCCCCCTACCTGCCATGGGAACACAGGGTATAGGGAGTGGTTCTCCTTACCTGGGTGCCCTGAAGCATGAGGTCCTGCCCCCATGGAGGTCTGGCTTCCAGGACCCAGGAAGCTGTAGCCCTGGGAGGGGAGCTGGGGACCAGCTTGGAGGGAAGCTGGCAGAGTGGGGACTTCTAGCCCTGGTTTCACTGCCCAGAGAGCTGCAGCCCAGTGGGCCCCCTGATGCCTTGGTGTAAAACCCAGGGGGCTGGCTGATATCCACCCCTGGGGGCAGCATTCCAAGCCCTCACTTTCTGGCTCAGAGGACACAGGCCATCAGAGTTGGGAGACTGGGGAGGAAGCAGGCAAAGCCCTCCAGCCCTGAGCCTAGGGAGGGGAGGGAGCCCTCTCTACTCATGGAGGGGCTAGGAAGGCCTCTTCCAAAGGGAGGCAGGATGGAAAGGACACAAGCAGGGACACAAGGCTGGGCAGGGCCTGTGGGGTGGGGCTGGGAAGACACTGGTGTGGGCAAGGGCTGGCTTTGCTCACCTGACTGGTTGTCATTGAGGAAGAAGCCCTGATGATCTTGGCTGCCTGGAGCCTGCTGGGGTGATGACTGGAGACCCCCGTCTGCCTTGTGGGGAACAAGAGCATCAAGTAACAGGGTAACAGAGACCAAAGCTGGGCTGGAGCCTCTTTGTTCTTCCCTGCCTCCTCCCTCTCCCCCCTCTCTCCTCCCCCCC